AAGAGGAAGGGGGGAAGGGGGAAGGGGGGAGGAAGGCAGCAAGGGAAGGAGGGAAGGAGGGAAGGAAGGAAGAATGGCCTGTGCTCACCCATGAAGGCTCACATGTGGGAGGAGGTGGTAGAATGCATGGGCTTCAGCTTGGTTGATAGGGGTTTGGGTCCCAGTTCTGCTCCTTGTCAGTTCAGGAAAGTGAATAACTCATTTCCAAGTTTCGTTTCCTTCTCTGTCAACTGGGAATTGTAACTTTACAATTCCTTTCACACAGTGGTGGTCAGGATGACCTGACACCAGAAGCAGTTATCACATGCCGTGGCACATGCTATACACTCATACATCTTAATGATTCTAATCAGCTACTATTTATGAACACTTGCCATGGGATAGGCATTTAGAGTAAAATAATAATAGTAGTAATAATATACAGAGCATCTAGTTATGGGATCTGTAACTGTATTCAACAACCATCTACTTAGCATCTCCTGTGTGACAGGTGTTGTTAGAAGTACTGGATATAGAATGAGAGAGAAGACAGACAGTACCTGTCCTCGTGGCACTTGTGGTCTCTTTAGGATAATGACTGCAACATCTGTTATAGTCAGTGTATTTCAGCAAATCCATTCATTCATTCTTTTTTTTTTTTCTCCATGGTTTTTTGGCATGCTCTAGAGCAGTGATTCCCAGAATTTAGTGTGCATAAGAATCGAATCAACGGATGCTTATTTAAATGCACATTGCACATGTCTAAGTCCCAGAGATTCAGAGCAGATAGAGGAACCTCAGAGGATGCTGACTCTTGAACCTGCCCTACAGCCACTTCCCCTTTACCAGTATAAGAATTTATCCTTCCAGAACTCAAGATGTCAATGGAGCTCCGTTAGGAAGTTTTAGATGAGAATTGTCTCTCCTAGGTTTCCTTCATTCCTTTTATCTCAAGAGACAAGATGAGAACTCTGATGAAGAAATGATTGGACCATAGTCTATTTCTGTCTCCCTTTGACTGTGTGACCTGAGACACCTCAACATTACAGACCTTCAGTTTTCTCATTCATCTAGAGGACAATACCTATATACCCAATGAACAAGCTTATTTTGACCCTTAAATGAAGTGATGGACATGTAAGCTTTTTATGAACCTTCAAGCTCCACACAAATAAAATATATTTTTATTATTAAGAGCAGGAAAAAAAAAAACATTGCCAAGATTGAGCTTAACTGGATATATATATACTATTTGTACATTGGGTTACTTATCTCAATTTGAGAAGACATGGGCATTCGTCCTCTGCCAATGAGTCCTTCTCTCCCTCATTGTTGTTTACCCATATGTTTGATGAATTGCTTTGTGACTTAAACTTTTCAAAGGATGTTTAGGAGCATCTCCAGCCACAAAGCTGGCCTGGGTCATATTTCATGTCAAGACCTCGAAACATGTTTGTTTTGGATATTGAAGCTATAATGAAGGGTCTTTTCAAGGCACATGACAGATGCTTTTGCTGTACTACTTTAGGTCATCTTGACAACCACCCTGCGAGGGAAGTCAGAAACTTACAATTCCCATACTACAGATAAGGAAACTGAAGCTCAGAGAGGGGCAACGACCTTTCTGAGCTGACAAGTAGCAGAACCAGGACTCAGACCCGTATCTATCAGGCCAGAGCCCCATATATTCTACTACTTCCCCACTTGTTAAAATCCAACTGACTTTTCTTTGAATGTTTTTGCTCTAAGCAAAATTCAAATTTTAGAATTATGATTAGAGAATTGGTTTATTTGTGGAAGCTTTTTCCTGTGAGCAAGCAGAGGAACCATGCATGTTTATCTCAAGGATATCCTGGCTGGCCCCAGTGTCCTATGCAACTTGAATATTGAAGCTTTGAATTGCCCTGAAATACAAGAGAGTGGCTAAGCTTCCTAAATGTTTTTAAAGTGATCTATGCAATGGCTGCTCAAGAGTGGTTTCATTTGACTGATTGAAGAAAAAATATATATTCTTTTACACTTCTTTGTTTTCAGTTAAACCACATATTAGCAAATGAAAAAAAAAAAACAGTAACAAAAATCTCAGCTGGGCAGGTGTGGTGGGCTCACACCTGTAACTCCAGCACTTTGAGTGGCCGAGGTGGGCAAATTGCTTGAGCCCAGGAGTTCGAGACCAGCCTGGGTGACATAGTGAAACTTTGTCTCTCCAAAAAAAAAAAAAAAAAGCTGCTAGAGATATTGAGGTCACCCGAGCCCAGGAGATCAAGACTGCCACAAACCATGATTGTCATGATCATGCCACTGTACTCCAGCCTGAGTGACAGAGTGAGACCCTGATGCCAAAAAACAAAAACAACAAACAAACAAAAAATCTCACTTACCCACACCTCTATGTTTGGTAAAATAGCACATAAATTGCCCAAACAGTATGTTTTGGGGGATAGATAAGCAAATTGAATTGTCAATAATGACTTCTTTCTTTAGACCTTTATATACTGTCTTACATATAAATATATTTTTTTAAATTTGTGGATCCTGGTAAGTTGTATCCTTGCTGGATATTTGCATAAGTGATGTTATTCTTAGTGGAGCCTTATGTGTTTAATTTGAGCATTTTAGCAAGATGTTTGGTGACCATTTTGACCCATGGTAAACTGTATTCCAGGACAGTCAAATAACCCAAAGAAGTAGATGGCATACCCTCACTCGTGAACCTGTGAGGACACTTAGGTCAGAACGGGCAAACTGATGTTCTTAGTACCCTCCCCCCAACGTCTTAAGTGAACTTGGGCTGTGAATCATGTCTTCTAATTGCCAGCCAATGTTAACTCTTCACAGGGACTATATATGCCAGATTAGAAGTATGTGTAAACTAAAATATGCTCATTAACTCACCTGTTTATTTGCTTTCTCCTGACATAGCCTTCATTTCTAACTCAATTATAATAGTGGCATGTGGAGGTGGTGGCTGCCTTCATAGGAGGGAGAAGCAACAACTGACAGCAAGGGAGCTTGTTCCACAAGCAGTCTTCACCAGATAATCACTACAGTTCAGGACTGCTTAGCAAGTGGCCCCACCCTCACTACCCCCAGAGGGTCTCAGCTCAAGGAAAACTTAGCATAATTATGACATTTGTTAAGATGACCCACATTATTAAAATAAGCTTAAGTTTAAGAATATTCAACTTGTGTTTAGAATATTCAACTTGTGTTTAGAATATTCAACTTGTGAAGGCAAGGAAATGCTTTGTTTTAAGATTTCTATTTGAATTTATTTACCATTGAAAGGAAGGCAATGTTACATTATTTGGAAATGTATCCAACCAGTCCCACATTTTATACTACATTGCTCTGATTGAGGCCACTAGCCAGGAGTGAGAGGACATGCAATTGTTTTGATAAACCAGAAACTTGATAAGGAAGACAGAGAAATAGTACACTTGTTTAAAGTCCCATGCATTAAAATAGAAGACCTGTTATGAAACCATATATTACATTCGTCTTTGCATTTAATTACATATGAAAGTGGGAACTTTTCATGTTTGTCTTTGAAGCAAAAGAGAAAACTAAATAAATCTGTTTTAGAGGTATATTCTATGAAGAGTTTTTTAGAATTTACATTCTAAAGAGGATTGTTCAGGTTTTTGTCCATCTGCAAATATGTAATGAATAATACTATCAATTTAATACAAAACAGACAAGTAATTAACTGAATATACCTGTGCTATGATATTGAAAAATAAAATAGGTGGATCTAAAAATGTATACAAATTAATGTGGAAAATATTTTTCATTAGCTTTTACCCTCTCTTTTTTCAAAATTAGAGAAAGGATTTGGAAAAATTACATTGTATAACATTTTTTAAAAATCATAAAATGTTTATTCACATCTTTTTTTTTTTTAATTATGGGGTACAATTCAGGGCTAGGTATACAAATATTCACCATACAGGTACCCTTATCGATGAGGTATGCCCCAAGTTTATTCACATCTTAAGGCATATATTTACTTTATGTTGAGAGGGAGAAAATAGATATGTATAGATATTTTTAACATTTCTGAAGAAAGTTCTGATATGAAGTAGATGTTTAAAACTTTGTTCTGAAGGAATTTTTTCTTTCTTACCTAACATGAAAAAGTAGTAGGGAAGCCCCTGGAACTATTTATTGGCTTAAACATGCATCATTTTTGCTGATTGGTAAGAGGAGAGACAAAAAAAACCATTCTCTTTTTATACATTTAGTATTTCCAAAACTACAGGTATACAATATTTTCTTCTATTCTCTCTTTATATGTTTACTCACTAATGCTTATATTTAAGCCATTTTGCAAATTCAACTGTATAACAATCTTGCATTTGTTTGGACTTCACTCTTTGTGTTTCAGGTGGGCCAACCATGAGAGGCTACCTTGTGGCCATATTTCTGAGTGCTGTCTTCCTCTATTATGTGCTACATTGTATATTATGGGGAACAAATGTCTATTGGTAAGTTTCATTTTCTGCTATTTAAAAACAACTCCCAAACTAGTCATTCACACAAACCCACAAATTATATTAGAGGATCCTATTCTTAAAAAAAAAAAAAAAAACCCCAAAAAACTATAACATTGTAATATTTTGACTCTTTTCTAGATTTCCATTATAAATTTGGATTTTACCATTCTAATATCCTATAGATTTTATCTCTAACAATTTAGAAACTGAAAAGCAATACCTGTTTTTTGTTGACTCTCCAGTGAAGCAGTAGTATTGACCATCTTTGGGAAGTTAAACAATCTACTCCTGAATGATCCTTGGGTCAACAATGAAGTCAAAATTAAAATTTAAAAATGCCTTGAAATAAATGACAACAATGACATGTGTTATCAAAACCTCTGGGACACAGTCAAAGCTGTGCTCAGAGGAAACTTTATAGCATTTAAGATCTACATTAATAAGACTGAAAGAACACATTGACAACCTAAGATCACACTTCAAGGAACTAGAAAGACATGAACAAATCAAACTCAAAGCTAGCAGAAGAAAAGAAATAATGAAGATCAGAGCAGAACTAAATAAAATTGAAATCAACAAAAATGCAAAGGATCAATGAAACAAAAAGTTGGTTCTCTGAAAAGATCAACAAAATCAGTAGACCATTAGCTAGATTAATTAAGAAACAGAGAGAAGATTCAAATTAGTTCAATCAGAAATGAAAATGGAGACATTGCAACTGATACTGTGGAAATACAAAAGTTCATCCAAGATTATTATGAACACCTCTGTGCAAACAAACTGGACAATCTGGAGGAAATGGATAAATTCTTGGGGCATAATATTCTTTATGCAAAAGTTCATCTCCTTGAATGAATAGAGTAGTTCTTGGACTCTGGTACTTAACTTGTAGAGCCTAAAATGCTTGGATAAGAGATTGTTGATAAAATTTAAACATCACATATGGTTTCTTTTGTTTAAAAATATTTGGTGAATGATGATATATACTGTATGTGTCTTTTGAAATAGCTTTGACTTAAATATCACATATAAAACTTCAAAGAAGCACAGACGGTTTTACTGCAGAGAAAACCCCTATGATAATTTATCTTACCTCTATTGTCAGTTTATTGGCTAGGAATAAAGTTTTGATGTCCTTTAAATCCTGAATGGGTGATAGTACATAATTATATTAAAATAAATCACATAATAATTTTCTGTCTTAAAGCATCAGTGTTTTATTGCTAGCGTTTCAACAGGACATCTTAGATCATGTTTCTAACCTGCGCTGGCTAAATTAAAAATACTGATGCTCCAGCATTTAGTTTTATTACTGGTAGATTGAAAGAATAATTGTAAAGCTTTTCATGAACGGACATTAAGCAAATGGCCACTAGACAAACCTAAGGCCACATGAGTGAGTTTGGCCCTAAAGTTTTAGGCTTTCAAACTAAATATTGGGCTAGAGAGCTTTGACATCTGTTCATACATTAGATGAGGATTACACCACAGAGATCTCTCCCTCCATCTCTACCACATTTTCTGAGTCACACTTAGTAGTAGAAGACAAAAATAAAACACAAAACAAAGCACTTACTAGTTTGCTACTTTCCTACAAATTCTATTATGGGTCACAGGGAAAATGAAGAAGATAATGAAAAGAATATAAATTCAATGCAGACTTTTGTCATCAGAATTGAGGGTTGACCACGTCTCTCCTAAGCTAAGACATTACTCCAGTCATAACAAGTACCATGGGAAATTACTGTGGGACAGGTGTTTGTGCATTAGATTTGCTTCCTAAAAATCTATTTAAGACAGACAGTTACCTTTGGGGGGAAGCAGTTCGAGGCTGCGGTGGCTGTGAGTATGCCACTGCACTCCAGCCTGGGCGACAGAGTGAGACTCCAACTCAAAACAAAACAAAACAAAACAAAATACCCAAAGTTTGTCTTCACAGTATCCTAAAACAGTTTGTTGTCCATGTTTTCGTGACCTTATAAATCAAGTAATATACCTCATTTTGTCCTGCAAATATAATTCAGTGTTTTGATCTGATATGCTGGTCCACTGTGTTCATGTTTCTTCATGTATAAAACAAGGCATTCTTGCAAATATAATTTGTCCTGCAAATATAATTCAGCTTTTTTGATCTGATATGCTGGTCCACCATGTTCATGTTTCTTCATGTATAAAACAAGGCGTTCTTGCCATTTGTGGTATGCACAAAAGATGTTTCCCTGCATAAGGACTTTATCAGCCTCGTGGTTCAGAAACGTAGCAGTTCTAATTATGGGGACTTTGCACCCACAAAAACTGAACATTTTGTCTGTCCATGGGTTTAAGCTGTGTCTTTCCATTTGAATACTACTGAGTTATAGACAAAAATTGATTTGTTTTCTTTTTCTACTAATTCTTCACATAATTGGTCATTAATATGTTTTTATAGTAAGCTGTTTTCCTCTTTCCTGGCTAAGTCTGGGTCCTGCCATCCTCTGTCTCTTTCATTTATTTTCCTTGTTTGCTCTGTCATGTTTCACAATACCCTTTTAAACTGTGGAGACAAGTACTCCATTCAGAGGAGACTCACAAGGGCCTAACCTGTGCCAAGAACAGAGAAGAGTTCGATGGGACTCTAAATAGCTGATTTGCGGAGGCCCTGGGATCCCAAGGCAAAGCTCTGTGGACCCTGCTCAGTCAGGTGTTTCTGTGGTGTCTCCAGCTGGTAGGTGTCCTTAGATGTGGCATGGAGGACCCAGATAGCCGTGTGCTCTTGGGGTGAGTTTGGTTTCTAAGGCCTTCGCGGGTTTCTAAAAGGGGAACCTGATTGTGGCGTCTTCAGGGCAGTAGTTTTGGCCCGTCTGTGAAGGTCCTTTGAATCACTTCTGGGTTGCCAGTCACCTCGGCCCTTCCCACTCTCCCTTCCCTCACATCCACAAATCCTCAAGCGTGCAGGGCTTGGACAAGGTACTGTCATGCCTCAGGGGCTGCCAGGAGGATCTTTATTTGCTATGAGAAGCCTCTCAGCCGTGGCACAAGTGGGTTCCCAGGGCATTTGCTTCCCTTTGGGCTGGCTGCCCAGTTCTGGTCTCTGACTGACACTATTTTTGTCTCGTAGGGTGCCACCTGTGGAAATGAAACGGAGAAATGAGATACAGCCTTGTTTATCAACGCCAGCTTTTGCCTCTCTGCTGAGGTAAAAATACACAAACAGAACAAAACTGTGGCATGCAAAATGCTCAAAATGTGCTTGGAATAATTTTCCACCCTTGTTTACATTTTTTAATACAAGTCTTAGCAGTATAAAGCGGACACCCCATATTTAAGGAAGAGCTTGAATATCCTGTCTCTTTTTGTGCTTTTGGTCAGAGAAAAGGCATTGAAGAACTCAGTCAAACCAGTGTTCTGTTCACATAGGTGAGGCTAGAGTGGTCTGTTTTTGTTTGGTCATTATAAAATGTCCTTTTTACTTTTCACCCGTATTATTTTGTGACTTCTCCTCCCTTACCCCTGGGTTAAACTTTATAATTAGAAACTTTCCCTAACCTTTATTAACTTTTAGTGGATGACATAGAATGCAAATAATGATTGCCCTACATGGAATGTAAATCATGATTGCTCACTGTAGTTGTCAGGACTTATATAGAGTATTTACTCTTCCATCTACAGATGTCCTTTTCCTTAGTCACCTCTGCTTTGACAGAGTGCTGGCCAAAATGCTTCTAGACAGCAAGAAATAAATGCCAGCCTATTCTAGGTATGTTTAATTGTATAAAACAGGCACAAACTGTTCAGCCCTTTTCCTATTAAGCACGAAGAATTCATATTTTCTTTTAATATGTCACTGCACCTTTCCATTACTGGTTCTTAACCCCTTGGGGCTATAGATCCCTTTAAAATCATTCTGTGCTCTGGAAAACTACAAATACATAAAACTTTATTGTATATAATTAATTACAAGTATGCCTTGGCTGCTTACAGTTTTTCCATGGGTGTGTCCAGGTGGACCATTGCAAAACTGGAAGTGTGACCATGACTCACATTAAGAAATATATTTTGCTTTGGGACCTTGTACATACGCACACATATAATATTATTTATTTTATATGATACAACTTAATTTATATTAGAATATATTATGTTGAATATTATATTTAATAACATAATTTATTGTTTTATAATAAGAAACAAAGAAATAATTTTTACCCTTACTACTCCAGATATGTGTTCTGTTCTATTCACTTAGAAAAAATATGCTGCTGGCATGGTGGCTCATGCCTGTAATCCCAGCACTTTGGAAAGCTGAGATGAGAGGATTGCCTGGGCCCAGGGGTTTGAGACCAGCCTGTGCAACTTGACAAGACCTTGTCCTTAGCAAAAAAAAAAAAAATTAGCTGGGTGTGGTGGCACATGCTTGTGGTTTCAGATACTTGGAAGGTTGAGTCAGAAGGATCACCTGAGCCCAGCAGGTCAAGACTGAGGTGGCTATGAGCATGCCATTGCACTCAAGCCTAGGTGACAGAGACTCCAATTCAAGCAAACATATAAACAAACAAAAAATGTGATCATATCTCACAAAGTTGACTTTCTTTGCCACAAGAGGGTTGCAGATGATAGGTTAAAATGCTGCTCTAGAATCCAGGTAGTCTATCACGTTAGTGAAAAAAGATCTTTTCTGAGAAAATTCCAAAAGGTTAAAGTATGCATGCAAGATTGTTCAGGAGGTATGTAAGTCTACAGTGTGCATGACAACAGATTTGCATTTGTCATTTGAACAGTGTTCTCTAAGGGTAGCCCTGCAGAGTGTGTTTGAGCTTACTTTGACAAAAATATAGAAAAGGTAGTAGCAATTCAGAGAAGCCATGCTCAGGAGACCTGGAACCATTTCTGCAGTGTTATAAAGAGAACGTCTTTCCTTAGAATTAGGTGCGGGTGTGGATATCAGCGTTGTCACTTAAGAGTTAGTGACCCCAGACAAGGTATTCATCACAGCTGATACAATATCATTTATATGGCACTTTAAAATTTAGAAATAGCTTAGCATCAGTACTTGTATTATCTCCTTTGTTCCTTCTTATTGATGGCTATCATTTTATTACTTGGTGTTGACTTGTTTATAAATTTTGTTTTCACCCCTCAAGCTGTAACATAATTTTAGTTCCAGCACCTGGAAGGTGTTTTCATTTTAGTTGTGTAGGTCCATTGTATATCCCTATGTAATATTTAAATATTGTATAAAATAATTTTTAAAAATTAAAAAATAATAATTATACATTTTCATATAATCAGTATAGCAATATGAATTGTATGCTACAGTTATTTTCAGTTACAATTTTAAAAGCCTGCAGATATAGTCAGCATTTTACAAAGTCATTTTTTATCCTTTTTTTTCCCCAGGGTTCATCACTTTCACCCTTTTCTCTGTGCATCTGATTTTAAAAAGATTGCTTCCTTGTATGATAGCAATAAGTTTGATTTGCCCTATGGGGTAAGAACATCAGGTCAGTAGTATTATTCTTACCCTGCCCTGTTAAACTTGAGTGGTGTTTGATGAGAACAGCATGTTTATGTAATTTTAAGACCTTTTAATCTTTCTGCTTCCTTACAATTCCTAAGGGATATGATTTTGGGTTGGGATAAAAGGAATTACATTTTAAAGTATAAATACCCACTCCTTTTGAGGCAGTGTAGAAACAAAAGATAAAAAAGGTAGATTTCTATTGTCACTGAGAAACAGCTTTCTACGTTTGTCCTGCCACTGTGTGACTCATGTGAGTTCTGACGCCTTACTTTATTATTTTCTTTTATTTTTCTTATTATAAAGATATGGGGTACAATTCAGGGTTAGGTACACAAACGTTGATTATGCAGGTACCTTGTTGATGAGGTGTGCCCTCTCTTCCCTAGTAAGTTCTTTCAACTGCCAATCCCACCCCCATTCCCCTGACAGTTTCCCACAGTTGTTTTCTGTTTATGTGTGTATGTGTGTGATTGAGTGTTCATCTTTCAGTTTTGTTGTTGTTGTTGGTTTTTGCTCTTTTGTTCTTCCGAGTTTTTTTTCTCTGTTCATCTTTTATAGTTTAAGGTGTGTGTCAATATATGGAAGTTACTTTAGCTTAAATTAGAATCAGGCGAATAATCCCGAGGGTTAATTTCCTCCCTGAATCCCACTCATCTCTTCATCTGAGTTTTATTTCATCAGCAATTTTTAGCTCCTTGATCAATCCCTTCATTTAATCAGTGCATATTTTATTTTTGTTGAATCTAGAGAAAATGATTCCATCTTCTAATGATAAAAACACTTTCCTTTCTGCTCACTGATAACTGATTGGCTTTACATAGCTTTAAGTTCTAGATTTTTGAAAGACCACAAAACCTCAAGAGGTGACAGACAGGCCTACAGTTGTTTGAGTTAGATTTTGCTTACTCTACTGATCCTGGAGGGCACTTTTTTTGGGGGGGGGTCTTTTTTTTTTTTGAGTTAGAGTCTTACTGTTGCTCAGGCTGGAGTATAGTGGCATGATCACTGCTACCATAGCCCCAACCTGCTGGGCTCAGGCGATCCTTCCACCTCAGCCTTACAAGTAGCTGGAACTATAGGCACACACCACCACATCTAGCTAATTTTTTGATTTATTGTAGAGATGTCTTGTCAAGTTGCCCAGGCTGGTCTCAAACCCTGAGGCTCAGGCAATCCTCTCACCTCCACCTCCTAAAGTACTAGGGTTACAAGCATGAGTCACCGTGCCCAGCTGGTTTTGTATTTGTTTTTAAGAAATTATTTTGTGAGAACTTGGCAACTTAATTAGCTTATACTTACTATTGATTTCTATTCTAATGTCGCTTTCAGAATCTTCTGATATTGCTAATTTGGGGGTTTTTTTTTAATGACTATTTTCACATTAAGCATCTTATTTTTTCTGGGGTTTTTGGGAAGTATCCTGAGAGCATTTATAACTTTAAATGTGCCTATTGAGTAGTGCTGGTAATTGCAGTTGTATCATTTATTTTTCACAGAAAAAATCAAATGTGGCTATGTTAGTTGGAAATGGGTTTAGAGGTAGGGAGCAGGATGGTTTATTATGTAGTAAAAAGCCATGATTTTCCTTTTATTCATAATACTTCATTTGTTTTCTAGCGGAATATTTTCGACTTGTGCTTTCAAAACTGCAGAGTTGTGATCTCTTTGACGAGTTTGACAAGTGAGTTTATTTCCTTGCTTCTGTAGACTTTTAGCTTTAGCTAAAGTGGTTCAAAACTTACATCCTAAAAGGTATAAGATATATTTGCTCTAGAAAATCCTCTTGCATTTGTGTTTAAATAAAACTTCTAGTAGTTATTTCTTTGACACTTGAAATAAGCTTACTACACAATTAATTTGGAAGCTGCATAACTGGTTGGCTCAAAAGTTTAAAGAGTCTTGATGATGATCAGCATGGGTTGCAAGTCAGAACTTTTTTTTTTTTTGAGTCAGAGTCTCACTCTGTCACCCAGGCTAGAGTGCAGTGGCACACTCATAGCCACCACAGCCTCGATCTGCTGGACTCAGGTGTTCCTTCTGCCTTAGCCTTCCAAGTAGCTGAAACTACAGGCATATGCAACCATGCCTGGTTAATTTTATGATTTATTGTAGAGACAAGATCTTGCCATGTTGCTCAGACTGGTCTCGAACCCCTGAGCTCAGGCTATCCTCTTGCCTCCGCCTCCCAAAGTGCTGGGATTACAGGTATGAACCACCACACCTGGCTTCAAGTCAGGACATTTTTAACCCCCATTCATCTTTTCTAAGTTGTTCCTACTTAAGAATTAATTTACCCTGTTATTCAGCTCACAGCTCCCTTCATGGGTTGTTTCTCACACTTTCTTAGACATTCTCCGAACTACTCATAAAAATCCTTTCTGTTTTGCTTAAGCAGGTTGAATATTCGATTTTGGAAGCAGCTCTCTTCCTTACAAATCAGTATTATACTTGAAGAAAGTGAACAACTTGCTAGGGTAGTTGCTTTTCGACTGTAAAAGTAGTTTAGTTTTCAGAAAATTTTGTTGTCACGTTAACTGCATAAAAATTGAATTGTCAAATTGAATAAACCCACTTCTTGGAAAGTGGGCTTATTTTACAGAGGTAGACTTATTTCACACAGTTTTAGGTCACACATTAGACTTTGACCAGTGGCTAAAGTGGAATATGGGTAGTCAACAGTTGTCAGGGCCTCCATTAGAAAGGAAGATGTCAGAATTTCCTCTGTCATCCAAAAAAACAAAGGTGCTTTTTGTTGGGTGCAGAAGGTGGTGGTAGTGGATGTAGGTATGAAAATGGAGATAGAGTTTACAGAATGGAGCTGTCGGAGCTGTGTTACATTTGCCCAGCCTTATCTCATTTTCTTCTGTTGGGGGACCTAGATTATTGAAGTGTGGGTTTGTGTAATGTGTGTTCGTTCATTTTAGTTTTTTTTAATCATTTGATTGCACATCAGCAGCAACCATGTGTCTTTTCCAACCTAAAATTTTATATAGCTCTCCTTTGTAAAATATTATTTTGTGCAGACATTTCACATATTTGCTTTATGTCAATTCTTTTTAAATGACTTCTGTGACTAGAAGTTTCTATACATGGTGAGACTGAGGCTAGGTAAACATACACAGTTTGTTACAGCTGGTAAATGCCATGGCTAGGATGTGAACCTAGATAGTTCTAACTCCAATGCCTTGTGTCCGGGTTAATGAAAAAGGTTATTCCTCAAATATTTGCAGCAAGGATCTGTAAATATCTGTAAAAATTCTTGACCCTATAAATGTGAGCTACTATTAGATCCTTGAGGATATGTGACTAAAAGTTTTGTTCTTGTCTGGAACTAGATTTAATCTTAGATTTAATCTAAGAACTAGACTCTGTTTTATTTAGTTGCTTCATAACTTTTTCCCACAGGCATTCATCCAGGCAGGCGTGCCATAGCCAGGCTGTTTTCTCCCTTCTCGCCATCTTGCTTTGCTGTTCCCCAACCTTTTCTCCCTTTGTCACCAAGAATGCCCTCACTTCCTACCATCAGCTTATGTCCATTTCTTGGCATTACCTGTATTGGGAGGAAGGTGGGGCATGGTAGGGGAGGAAGATTGGAAATCATACTGACTGCACACAAGTCCTTTAATCTAGCGGTGCTCAACCTTTTTTGCATTAGGGCCTGGTTTTGTGGAAGACAGATTCTCCATGGACAAGGGGGGCGGGGGGTATGTGCGGTCAAACCTCACTGCTAATGTTAATCTGTATTTGCAGCTGCTCCCCGGTGCTGGCATCACCACTTCAGCTCCACCTCAGGTCATCCGGCATTCAATTCCCATCAGGAGCATGCAATCTAGTTTCCTTGCATGCGCAGTTCACAGAAGGGTTCACACTTCCACAGACAAAAGGCAGAGTCAGGTGGTAATGTGAGCAATGAGTGGCTGTAATACAGATGAAGCTTCACTTGCCTGCGGCTCACCTCCTGCTGTGTGGCCCAGCCAGGGGAGGGTGGTATTGGGTTCTCCTGCTTTAATCTGAAGCTGCCAAGAGTCTGAAGTAGAACCAGTGAATCGTCAGAGACTCTCTAGCTGTAGGTGAATGGCAATATCCCTGTAGGATCCCCACAGAGTGTGTGCAGTAATGCACATTTTATAGCCTCACAGCTGCACAGTCAGCATCGCTGAATTGCATGTCTGACTTGTGCAAACCTTAGAAAGAGTCTTTTGAAAATAGATTAAGAATATATTTATAATACTATTTTCTTCTCTTTGCATGGCGCTTAACTTTTGGAAGAGATTCACATGTAATATTAAATTTTACCTCTATTTTAATTAAGTAAATCATTCTACCTTTGCTAGGTACCCACTGTACAACACAAAGGAAAAAGCAAGCCAGGCTATACCCGAGCAATACGTTTTTAGTAAACCCCAGAAAGGCAGGATGGACCGAACTGCCTGAACGCTGCTAAGTCAACTCAGTTTGTTCCCCAATAACCTCACAGAGTTCCCATTTCTCTTCTCAGCCTGGACAAAATGCACTAGAAGAAGGAAGTCTGAGAATAGTCTTTCTCAGGCAGAGAATTTAGATTGCCCTGGGTACTGGCGTCCTCTGTGAGCCCCTGGCCTGTGGAATTGGGAACTGGTTCCACAGATCTGAAGAGAAAGCCCAACTGGCATAGCTGACTTGCTCTTCATTGTGGGTCTGCAGGTCATAGAGGAGGGGATGAGTTGGATCAGCCCTTTCAAGTCCTCTTTCCCCTTTTTCTCTCTCTCCACTGATGTTTATGCAGCTGGCCTTGCTCTGTGCTCGCTCTCTTTCTATCTGTGCTCTGGAAGGTGCTTGGCATATTTTGGGGTGCAACAGTTAAGTACAGATCTTTTCCCTACCTTTTAGCCTCCCTTCATCCTCTTGGTCCCTTTCCAGAAAGTTTCAGACATTTTCGTTGTGGTTTCAATGCTGAATGCTTTAAGATCCTACCAGATACAAATTTTGGTTTTGTCAGATATATTGCACAGCATGCGTGATACCCTCAGTTGGGACAGATGCCACTGTAAACTCAAAACATCAGTTGTGGTTGTAAGACAGAAGTTTTTCTTTGTTCTTATAGTTTTCATATCAATGAATTCTGCAGGTAAACATTCCAGGACTGACCCAGCGTCTGTGATCATGAAGGACCAAGGCTTCTTCTTTATCTTGACTCCATTATTCCTTAATACATGACTTTCTTCTTAGGGTTCAGTAGGGTGACTGGAGTTCCACACATCTCATCTTCATTCCTACCCAGCAGGAAGGAGGAAGGGGCACAGGGCACACCTCAACTCTTTGAGACATACCCCAGAAATGACATTACATCCAATAATGTGCTAGAACCAGTTAGGACCAACCTGTGAGAGCCGTATCTCTTTGTATTCTGCTCTATATTCAGTGCCATTAAGGTGGAAGCTTGAAATTAGCCATGGTGAGAATATTTATGCCATGGGAATTGGCAAACACTATAAATCAGGGCTTCCCCATTCACATACCCCTTCTCCCCCAGAACTGGTTGTTAAACATTTACTAGCAACCACTGATTACATTCCATTGGATAGATTTGGTCAAAAAGCCATTCCTAGCCTAGTGGCCTGGTGGGCTGGAAACTCTAGTCTGTATTCCAGGTGACTGTGTGCCCACCTTTAAAAACAATGAGTCTGTTTTAAGGGACAAAGAAAACATGATTATTGAGTGACAGCTAGCCATCTTTATCAGTATTCTTCATCATTTCCCTGGTCCTTTCGTGTTTCTGTGCCTGGTCACTTTCAGGATTCTGAAGGCAATTGTGTAACTGCTCTGTAACGACTGGGCTCAGTGCATCATTTCTATATGCTGCTCCCACCGATTTCTTCTGGACTTGAGTTCCTCTTTTTATTATCCAAAGCACAACCAACACAAGGCAACCATGTTTAACAAACTTCACTTCATTAAAGATGGAGCATATTTTAAGAGAACTGCATTGTGAACAGGAATACTTAAGATGTGCCCATATTCCTAGGCCCTGCTCCTTCCTGGCTGTCTGTGAAACTCCTTAGCACCAACATGTGCCCTGGCTCCGAGGATCCTTGCTTTCAGTGGGAGTTCAACCTCACACTGGAAGCAGCTGAAACCCCAAATCACAAAATCTCAGCTCCCACTTAAAATGCACAAGCAAGCTGCCCTTCCCCGTCCACCAACATTGCATTCTGAGAACATGCCAGATTTTATGAAGAGTGCTTCAGTCCTGTAGCACAGGTTGTTATATGGTAGCTACACTAAATGTCTTCCCTAACAAAATCACCTGAGTCAAATCAGTTGCCTGCTAAATGGATGGGGGTTTGTAAAAGCTGCCTGATTGCTCTCTCAAGCGGAATTCATTATGTCAGCATCAGCAGAGCTGGGTTAGATGGGCTACCAGCTAGGGCAGGAGCATGCCATTAGAAAACTTAAAAAAAGAATTAGACATGAGTGGTATATTTATTTAAAAGAGGTCCTAACTCTAGAAGGACTCTCTGTGTTCCTACTCTGGAAATTGTGCTGTTTTGCATAGTTTCTTTACACTGCAGCATTTTCAGCCAGGAGGAAGACTTGAGGGTGAGGGAAGTCTGTGATTCTACATCAACAGAGTGAATCATATGTGGTGAAAGTGTAGGAAAAGCCACTGCCTATTTTCTAGCCATTGCTGTGGTCAGATGTTGGGTGAAGATACACAAACCTGGGTACCCATGTAAACAGAAAAATGGTTATATCAAACAGAGGATACTAACATTTGAGAGCTCAGTGATTCCCTTATTTCACAAAAGGGCAAACAGGTCAGAGAGCTCAGGTCACTAGACCAAGATACTAAGTGGGGGAGCCAGAACTAAGTCAGGTCTCCACCCAAAGTCATTGCACAGTGTCTTAGGATCTTCTGGCTGCAAGTGATTGTCTCTGAAGAGTGATTTAAACTAAGTGGACATTTATTACCTCTTGTATTACACAGATATGTGGTTTCAGGTCTGCAGATTTGTGGTTCCAGCCTACACTGTGAGCTGTGTATTGCTGTGCAGACTGTGGGTGCCAAACTCTAGAAAGAGCCAATTCGTACATGTGGTTACCTGATTGGTGCTGCCTGACATTGGACAGGGAACAGCTTGCGTCTCTGTTAGGAGCAGCCCCAGTCGTGGGATTGAATTAGTGACTCAGTGATATCAGGGCTTCAGAGTGGTTTTTCTGTGGCTTTCTTTTCTTCTAAGATGCAGCTGCTCGAACTTTTTGTCATCACATGTCCATGTCTAAGCAGAAAGGAAGAGACTGATAAAAAGAAAGCATTCTGTCACACCATTCTCTTGCCAGGGGGCAAAATCATTTTCACAAGCATCTAATGGATCACATGACTGTCTCTAGACCAAACATTGGCAGAAGAAATGAGCTCACCACCATAGGCTTACAAAAGCAGGGTTCTGCTAACAAGGTATGTGGGCAATGGGTGTTGGGAATCCCTGCCATAGATCGTCAGTTCAAAGGTAGAGTAATAGGTTTTAATGCATATGATGCTGTTGACAGGAATGAATAAATGTCAAAATGCATTCAGAAGAGAAGACACATCACAGATCATTGAAACAGGCAACTCAAGTTTGCTTTCTCTATGTGGTGTTGACGTTTTCCTCTGCAGGAGGTAACGACTCTTTTGGCTTTGCCCACCTTTATGAGAAACATGCCTTTCACCTGGGGAAGTATAATCTCTAACCACCCCCTTTTCAGCAGCTTTCCAGATTTTCCATTAACAGGTTCAGGCTGTCTGGAATTATTTTGTTTTCCGGGCGAGCAGTTTAGGGCATGTGTATGTTTCTTACCTGTTTCCAGAGTCAGGGGAGGAGTAGCAGTTTCCTGCTTCTCCAGACACAAAGTAGGGAAATAACTTCCATACACTTAATGTAACAGTCACACTTAATGTGTGACTTAATGTAACAGCCACACACTTGATTTCCAAAACTCATAGCCTGTGAGCCAGGAAGTGTTTCAGATAGAAGGGCGCAGAGATATAAATGATACTATTCTTTCCTCTAGGGACAGACACGTCACTGCAGCCATTTGTGCAAGAAAGTCGTGTTAATTAAATATGGCGAAGTTATAGAGTCCCCAAAAGGACACTGAAAGTCATTGTTTCACACGTAAGGGGGCTGGGAAGCCAGGGGCCCAGGCCAAGTAGATGAAGTAAAGGAGAGAATGAATCAGTCCTTTCATAGTATGGGTACCTGCTGGGGAGAGAGGAGAGCAATGAGTTCTGAGGAGCATGGTGCAGACAGCTTATCTGCACCATCCCATACTTCCCAGAGCCGTGCTGTGAATACTAGCTGCAGATTGACTTACTATGGCCAAAGACAGCCTAGGGACGCCCTCAAAAGAGTTGCTAGTGTTATATGTGATTCTCAGAAAAACGTGCGGATCTTTGCAGTATCCTTTACCAGGAGGAAAGTGGACTTTGCTCAACAGTGTTTCCTTTCAAAGGTATTGGTGTGTTTTTTCTTGCAGTAAAGGCCCTTCCTCCCTCTGTCTGTCCCCTGTAAAGCTGACAGAGAAGAAAATAGAAAAATTCCTAAAAATATGGTGACCTTGAACTTTAAAGAGTTTTTGGAATAGGGATTCCCTTGAGTGTGGCAATCTCTTTATGATTTCTTTCCACTTTTTTTCTAAGTCCTTGATCGTAGGTATAAGAGGCTGAGTACAAAGAATGACTGAAGAAGAAATCTGCCTGCAGCCCTAGACTCCCACTTTGTTCTTTTTCTTTCTTTCTTTTTTTTTTTTTAGTTGGAGTCTCACTCTGTCACCCAGACTGGAGTGCAGTGGCCGCTCCCAGCCACCGCAGCCTCGACCTGCTGGGCTCCGGTGATCCTTCCACCTCAGCCTTCCGAGTAGCCGGAATTACAGGCACGCGCTACCACACCCGGCTAATTTTTTGATTTATTGTAGAGACAAGGTCTCGCTGCCCAGGTGGGTCTCGAACTCGCGGGCTCAGGCAATCCACTCACCTCAGCCTCCCAAAAGTGCGGGATTACAGGCTGAGCCACCGAGCCCAGCTTGTTCTTAGCTTGAAGGATCTATTGGAGGAGGTCCAGGATCTTGAGCCTAGGTGGGGACCAGTAATGTGGGTGTATTGTATGTAATAGGCGGTAGCTCCTCTTGCCATGGTATACTTCGGGCCGCATGTAATGTAAGGCTTGATAACCATCTGTAACCCAATCTCATAGAGAGGAAACATCTGTGAACACTAAGGCCCAACCTGCCAGTTCATTGTTGACAAAATTATAGAACTGACCATGTCTAGAACTGAGCCAAGTTACCTCTTTTTGAGGCCAACTTCAGAGATTTGGCTTGTGGGTCAGGGGTTCTCTGTTGAGATTGGGAACTCAGGGGGCATGCTAGCAGCCTGGGGACAAACTGGGGACTCTGGACCAGGATGGATACTGGAGCCACTGGGGGACCTGGGCTCAGGGCAAGGTAGTCCCTTCCCTCAGCAGGAGATTGGCCTCCAGCTTTCATTGGAGGGAGAGGGTTAGACTAGGTACCATCTAAGATATTCCTCCTTCACTCCATATAGATTATCCCACAGGAACAGCTATGATCTGGATCCTGTCTGTTCTTAGCTGGGCCCTCCCCATAGCCTTGCCTGGCTTAGCCCTCCCAATGAGAAGATGCAGCCAGCTTTAGGAAGTTCAGTCTCTGATCGCATAAACTGACCTCGAGGCTGTAGAAAGGGCAAGCAGGCTATGGGTTTGGGAAGTGCTCCTTGTTGTAGCGTATTCAAGGGATGGATCTAGGAGGCTAATAGCAACAGTGCCCTGGGGGGAAAGGGTTTTGAATGTTCACCAGTGCACCCATGCTACCTGGCTCCAGAGCAGAGAGCCTTTGACAAAGTTGGCTTCCTGGAATTGGGGTTGAAGTCAAACTTGCTTATAAAAGCATATAGAGACATCCTGTTTTCTTAGTTAAAAACAAACAAATGGCCAGGCATGGTGGCGCGTGCCTGTAGACCCAGCTACTTGGAAGGCTGAGGCAGAAGGATGACCTGAGCCCAGCAAGTTGAGGTTACAGTGGCCATGATTATGCACTCCAGGCTGGGCAAAACAGTGAGACTCTGACTCAAAAAACAAAAAAGGAGAGAGATTTAACTAAACAGACACTCCTAGAACAACACATAGTGACATGTGACATGTCCATGATGTGAGATTTTGGGCACACGGTCAAGGTAGGTCTGTTGGACAATCTCCTCACCCTACCCATCCCTACCAACTGATTCTTACTCTTTTGTTCTGATGACGTAGATATTGATATAGGCATGACCCTTTAGTAATTGAGAGCTAAGAGCCCCCAATTAAAATGTGTTAAAAGTGAATTTAAAAGGTTAAAGTGTTAAAATTTATCAAATAAGTAGATGAACTATACAAATTCTACTCACAAAAGTTAAACTTATGAATATAGGAATGTGTACATCATCTCTTCTTTATCTGATGAGGCCAATGCTTGGCTCATTAAAAAAGTTCCTGTCCTTATGCATTCTCTATGTTTAAATCCTCCACAGCATTTGTATCATTTTGTTACTCAATAATTTCTTAAAATCCTTAAGCTTTTGAGTTCATCTGGTCTTCTGATTTCATGGTTCTTCGAGGTTTTTGTTTTTGTTTTTGGACTTTCCATGTCATGAGGGCCCCAGAAGGACTACCTCAACAGCCTTCCCTTCTGTTTTGTGCTTTCTCCAGGTCTGGCTGGGTGGTGCTAAGAGCTGGGAGACAGATGGGCCAGGGCCATGTTTGCTGAGAGCCAATGGCATACAATCCATGCTTCTAGGCTGATCCCAGGCAGCAACAGGAAGTTCCCCTGTGTGTCCTACTTTAAAGCGATTTGCTAGGAACACAGAGTGAATGTTTAGTTTGTATTAGTTGAACTCCAAGGCCCAGTTCATGCTTGAAAAATTGAAGTGAGCATGGGCAGGGTACAGAAAAGTACACTTTCCCCACCAGATCCAAACTGTTCATCTCCACACTTATGCAACAGAGAGTCAGAGGCAGAATATTAGAAAAGGAGTAAAGCTGGTACAAAATGAATATGCATCTGAATGCAGAATCCTATGTGGAGGGGTGTTTTGTAGTCCAAGGTCTTGGTCCAAATGCTAGCACCACCTCTTTGGAGCATGACTTTGAAATGTGACACGCCACTTCTCTAAACCTCTTTTTCATTGGCATAATGGGGATGTCAGGCTTACTTATCTCCGTGGGTGTTTATGAGAATCAAATGAATGAATGTGTGTGGGCTGGCAAGAGGTAATAGTGGGTGACAATGATACACTCTGCCCAGAGGATGTCATTTACTGAATCTTGTATCTTTTTAATAAACCTCTAGACCTAAAAGTCACAATTGGTTCTTTTTCTACTTGTGTGATAAGAGGAATTTGGCATTGGGTTCCTGACAGTCTGTATGGGTTCTTAAAATCACCCTGCTTTGTAAAAGATGGCTCAACCTCTTACTTGTCTTTCTGTTCAACAGTGTGCCCTGTAAAAAGTGCGTGGTGGTTGGTAATGGAGGAGTGTTGAAGAATAAGACGTTGGGAGAAAAAATAGACTCCTATGATGTAATAATAAGGTAAGTATATCTCCTATTTGCTACCCTAGAATTGTTTCAAAGGAAGATGATTCTCAGTTTGGTATAGCTGTATTCTAAAAGGAAAGGGAGTTACTTCAATATGTTTATGTACTTAGTTACACAACCTTCTCTCTCAGATGTTGGCTAGCACTGGGCCTAGCCTTCAGGTCACTCATTTAGTAAATATTTATGAAGTCCCCTTAGTAGGCCAAGCATACTTCTGAAAACCACAGGGGAGATAGCCGTTGATAAGAACAATGATCTTGCTCACCATGGAGCTTATATTCTAGTGAAGGAAAGAAAACCATGATTAAATACGTAAAACTAACAAATGCTGTAAAGATAATTTTAAAAGATATGATAGAGGACAATTGGGTGGCTCCTTTAGAAGAGCTGACCCCTTTAAGGAGGAGACATCTAAGCTGAACCTAAGTGGCCATCGCATTAGCAGCCGTGTGAGGAGTAGGAAGAGTAGTCCAGGCAGAGAGGATGCTGCAGGTCTTTGGGAGGAGATGGTCCTGAGTTTGAGAGGAGCAGCAAAAACCTAGCGAGGCTGGAGGGCAGCAGGAGGGAGCCAGTTAGATGCTGTATTCAGGCAGGAGATGATGGCTTGGGACAGGATTAGGAAAGGAAGAGACACGCAGCCAGGCTGGAAATGTGTGTTGGACCTGAAGTCATCAAGACTTGTTACGTTAGAGGTGAGGAGTAGTGGGAATACAGAAAGCAAGGATGCCTCTGACTCTGTCTTCAGTTTATGAGATTGGCTGGAAAGTAGTATCATATATTGAGTTGGGAAGACTGGGGTAGGAGTTGGTTTAGGGAAAAAACAAGATTTCTGTATGAACATCTTACATTTGAGATGCTTAGTAGATTTGCAGTGAGATGCAGTGAGATTTGCAGTAAGTCCAGATGCAGCTGAATAAACAGGTGAAAGTCTTGATGGTAAGTGGCCTATATGCTGTATTCAAACCATGAACTGGGTGAGATTTCCCAGGGAGTGCTAAGGAAGAAAATAAGAGACTAGCAGAGAGAAGAGGGCCCAGGACTGAGCCTTGGAGCCAGGTTGGGCAAAGCAAAAGGCGTATGTGAAGATGAAAAGGATCTGCCAGTGCAGCGGGAAGAACATCAGAACGGGACCCTAGAAACCAAGAGAACCAAGTGTTCAGGACAGAGGGAGGGATCAACTGGCTCTCAATGCTGGCAAGGGGTCATGCGAGATAAGGACAGAGAGCAGACCATTGGACTGGCGACCTGAATGAAGCTCATTGACACTTGATAAAAGCAGGCTTAGAGGCATGATGTGGCAAGAAGCCCGACTGCAATGGATTGAAGAGAGAATGACAGATGAGCAAGTGGAGAAATCAGTATAGTCAACAAATGGCTTCAAAGAGGAGTTCAGGCCAGGCACTGTGTGTGGCTCACGCTTGTAAATTTTAGCACTTTGGGACGACAAAGCGGGGAGGTTGGCTTGAGTCCAGGAGTTTGGGACCAGCCTGGGTAACATAGCAAGACCCTGTCTCTAAAAAAATGAAAATAAATAAATAAATAAAAGGAGTTGAGAAATGAGATGGCAGCTGGAGATAGACGTGCAGTTAAGGATAATTTTTTTGTTTTGTTTTTGTCAAGATTGGTGATGCTAGAGCCTATTGGTAAACTGATGGAAATGAGAAGATTGATGTAGTGAAAGGAGTAGGGTGCAGGGAGCTCAGAACACAGGTGTGGGTACTCTTTTGTAATGGAAAGGAGAGCCTGGATTGTGATTATAGCTACCAAGAGTCCCTTAGATGTAGTGATGGGAAAATAAGGATCTTCCTAATCTGTTTTTTTTTTTTTCAGTGAAAGGCTGAGATAAGGGCATCATCTGGGCAAGTATGTGTGTTAGGAATAGTTATGAAGAGTCTTTTGGAGAGTGAGAAAGCCAGCACACTGGGACAGTGCACTAGGATGATCTGGCAGTGCTGGAGTTTTTCTGGGTTACAAGCTGCCTGGGGTTTCTGCATAGTGAGGTCACCTTATTTTCTGGGTGTTTTTTTTGTTTGTTTATTTGGTTTTTTACCCTTTTTGAGAAAGCTGTTATAATTTAACTACAAAACAATTCTGAACCAATTACAGGTTTCTCTGCCTATAATTGTTTAAATCTGATTATTTAGAAGTACAGGAAGCCTTTGTGGGAAAACACACCATGGGTACAGATTTTGAAAGTCATCTCAAGTGCTATTAAGACTGTCATATATTACATAGCATCAGTGGCAAAGGGTAAAACAGTATTTATCCTCCTAGGGGACACTGTTTTGGAAACAAGGCATTCCTTTTTTATAGCCTGGCTTCATAGTGTGTGCATAAATAGTGCATGTCTAACCTTGGCCTTGAGCATACATAAACCCAACAGTAGATCTTTTGTGGTTCTTTAGTTCACTCGGGCAATAGCCGTTCACTTGGTTCTGCTTGGGTATAATACAGCAGTTTTATACTGTTACTTTATTTTGGAGCACAATTTTGATGGGTCTTCAAACCAACTTAAATGTGATTCTTCTTGCCTGTAAGTCACATAGACACACGTCATGTGTGACGTGAGTATGTGGCCTTGCGAGTATGTGGCCTTGTGTAAGTAACTTTCTCTCTCTGGCGCTCAGGGCCCTTATCTATAAATTCATGGTGTGGGTTTGTCCTCCAAGGCTCGTTGAACTCAAGTGTCCTATGGTTCCATGTTCCTATTTCTTTTATTTAGTCTTCAGTTTTCCTGGAGGTAAGACTGAATTATCATTGACTCCACAATTAATATTTAAATACTTTTGAATGTGTCTGCATTTGATGAAGTAGCTATTTCATAAAAAGGAATGATCTCCTTGACGTGTGAAAGATTGATGAACCGTCTTGTGGCTTCAGAGGATAAATGGCTGATACTTGTCCATCTCTGAAACCTCTGAGAACTGTGATGAAAGGCTCAGCCTGCACTTGGTCCACATATCTTGTGTGTTTTACTACCCACAGAATGAATAATGGTCCTGTTTTAGGACATGAAGAGGAAGTTGGGAGAAGGACAACCTTTCGACTTTTTTATCCAGAATCTGTTTTTTCAGAGCCCATTCACAATGACCTTAATACAACAGCGATTCTCACTGTTTTTAAGCCTCAGGATTTAAGGTGGCTGTTGGAATTGTTGATGGGTGACAAAATAGTAAGTAGGCAAGATTTATTTGCCTTCGGATTATCTTTAGTATTTTTTTCCTGAAACAAAACAACCAACCAACCAAATGTTCTATTTTCTACATTCTTGCTTTATTTCAGAACACTAATGGTTTTTGGAAGAAACCAGCCTTAAACCTGATCTATAAACCTTATCAAATCAGAATATTAGATCCTTTCATTATTAGAACAGCAGCTTATGAACTGCTTCATTTTCCAAAAGTGTTTCCGAGAAACCAGGTACGTATCTGTCGCTGCATGATTTCAAACTAAAGATCTGGCTGAGGTAGAAGGGTCTGGGAGCTCAAGAGAGTTTCTGAGGACCACATCTGAGTTTGTAAAATTAGTTTCCTGTGGATATTGTGTTTCTCAGGTTGCAAGGAGGGTTTTTTCCCTGCCCTTGCAGGGCCTTTTTGGGGTCTTTCTGTGCATGTTTAAATGGTTCATCTCTGGTAAATTTGTCTTGAATGTTCTGTAGCAAGGAGAGTCTGACAGGGTGGGCTGATAGGCAGGCTTGTGCTCAGAGTCACAGGCCTGGCTTCAGGACAAGTGCGTGACTTTTCAGGCTAAAAAGGACTGTCTGAAGCATGCTGGCAAAAATATCACAGGAAGGTCAGTAGAAAGGTGAGGAAGGACAAGGTAGTCCAGAAATACTTCTGTGGTCAGAGGAAACACTGGCATTCAATTCTCAAGAAATGGCACTGTTGAAAGAGTTCTAGAAACTCCAGATTATTTAATTAAGTGGAATCTTCTTGCCTTTGACTCTTGTAGTCCTGTTTGCCAGTGGCAGAGATGTGTTTTTCATTTGAAGCTTGAGTGACTTTGTAACATGATACCTCAGCTGAGAGGAGGGTTTTCCCTCCTTGTAAAGCAAGGACAATCCAAAGAAATAAATAAACATCATGTATCTTTTCTGTAGCATGGTGAAAATTGTGATTAATAAATTCCAGTGTTGCATGCATAAAATAAAATAATGTATAAAGGAATAGTAAAACTATAACAGGAAATCATCCTTGTCTTCCCTCCGTAATCCATGTCATCTCTCAAGCTTTTCAACCTTCTGTGCCCTTCTAGGCTACTTCCCATGCACAAACACATCCTTTTTTTCACGTAAATTAAACATTTATTTGAAGATGAGTTTATGCCAACTGATTTTTTTCAGGAAGGTATGTAGTTTAAAGTAATGACTATCAATGGTAAATATATTTATAGTTTTATGATAGATATTTATAATCCTCCGAAATCCATCATAAAGGTTAAAAAAAAAGAGTCTTTTAGATAATATACTTCCTTATGTAGATATCTTTTAGGTATTGTTTTCATTTAATTGCTTATTTCATTTTTTACTATTTTTATTTTAAAGATGTGGAGTACACTTCAGGATTAGGTATACAAGTGATCGTCATATAGGTAAAGTTTGGGCCTCCTTTTGGTCCCCACTTTGCCTTGTTTGAGATTAGATACTATTTTTGATGTTGTATCTCCCCCGGCCCCCCACCCCAGCAGTATCCCACTACTGCCAATTCCTTTCTTATAGTATCATGGTAAATATTCAGGGTTCACTTATGAGTGAGAACATATGATACTCTGTTGTTTCTGTGATAGATCAATGTGTATGATAGACTCCAAATCCATCCAAGTTGCTGTGAAATCCATATGTTTGTCCTTCTTTATGGCTGCATAATATTCCATTGTGTATATGTACCACACTTTTTTATTCAGTCCAGTTTCGATGGGCATCATGGTTGGTTCCATGTTTTGCTATTGTGAATAGTACTGCAGGTATCTTTTTTGTAGAATGATTCGAGTTTCTCTGGGTGTATTCCCAGTAGGGGGATTGCTAGGTCATATGGAAGGTTGATGTCTAGTTCTTTTAGAAATCACCACACTGTTTTCCAACGAGGTTGCACTAGTTTGCATTCCCACCAGCAGTGTAGAAGTGTTCCTTTTAGTGTGCATGCTCACCTGCATCTATTGCTGTTTGTTTTATTAATGACAGCCATTCTTACTGGGGTTAGGTGGTATCTCATTAGGTGATATCTAGGTGATATCTTAGGTGGTATCTCATTCTTACTGGGGTGAGTGGTTTTGGTTTGTGTTACTCTGATGATTAGTGAGACTGAGCACTTTTTCATGTATCTGTTGGCTGCTGTATATCTTGTTTTGAAAAGTGTCTATTCATGTCTTTTGCCCACTTTTTAATGGGGCTTTTTTTTCCTTTTGGCACATTTGAGTTCCCTGTAGATCCTAGATATTAGGCTTTTGTCAGATAAACTGTTGGCAAATATTTTTTTCCCATTCTGTGGGCTGTCTCCCTGCTCTCTTGATGGTTTCTATTGCTTTGCAGAAGCTTTTCCGTTTGATAGGGTCCCACTTGTCTATTTGATCTCTTATAGCATGGACACTTGGGATTTTGATCAGGAATTGGTTGCCAATTCCAGTTTTCATAAGGCTGTCTCCTGCGTTTTCTGAGGTTCTTATAGTTTGAGGTTTTACGTTTAGGTCTTTGATCCATTTTGAGTTGATTTTTATGTATGGTGATAAGTAGGTGTCCTGTTTCAATCTTCTGCACGTGGTCAGCCAGTTTTCCCAGCACCATTTACTGAATAGGTTCTCTTCTCCCCAGTGGTTATTGGTGGAGGCCTTGTTGAACATGAGTTGGTTGAGAAATTGAGGTTTTTACTTTTGAGATCTCTATCCTGTTCCATTAGTCCATATGCCTATTCTTGGACTAATACCAGGCTATTTTGATTATTACAGCCTTATCGTAAAGTTTAAAGTCTGGAAGTGTGATACCTCTCGCTTTGTTTCTTTTGCTGAGGATTGTATTGGCTATTTGTGGTCATTTATGTTTCCATATAAATTTCTGTGTTGTCATTTCCAGGTCTGAGAAGAATGATGTTGGTAATTTAATGGGTATTACATTGAATCTATAGATTGCATTGGGTAGGATGTACATCTTAACAATTTTGATTCTTCCTACCCATAAGCATGGAATATTTTTCCATTTGTTTGTGTCTTCTTGGATTTCTTTGAGCAGTGTTTTGTAGTTCTCCTTGTAAAGGTCTTCCACTTCTCTGGTTAAAAAGATGCTGAGGTATTTCGTTGTTTTTTTTGTTTTTTTTTTTTTTTTTGTGGCTGTTGTGAATAGGATTGTGCTTTTTATTTGGTTCTCTGCTTGCTTGTTGTTGGTTTATAAAAATGCGACTGTCTTTTGCATATTTATTTTGTACCCCAAGTTTGCCAAGGTCCTTTAACAGTGAACTCAGGTTTTTGACAGATTCTCTTGGGTTTTTGAGGTATAGGATCATATCGTCTGAAAAGAGGGATAACTTAACTTCCTCTTTTCCTGCATACCCAATTTGCTTCTCTTGTCTAATTGTTCCAGCTAGGACTTCCAACACAATGTTGAACAAGAGGGTGAGAGTGGGCCACCTTGTCTAGTTCTGATTTTCAGGGGAAATGTTTCTAGTTTCTATCCATTTAGCAATATGCTGGCTGTGGGTTTATCATAGATGGTGTTTAGTATTTTGAGGTATGTTCCTTCTATGCCTAGGTGTTTGAGGGTTTTTATCAATAAGGGATGGTGGATTTTATCAAAAGTTTTTCCTGCATCTAGTGATATAGTCATGTGCTTCTTGTTTTTACGTCGGTTGATGTATTTAATTGCATTTATTGTTTTGTGGATGTTGAACCAGCCCTGCATCCTGGGGATGAAGCCTACTTGGTCATGGTGGATGATTTTTGAGATGTCACAAACACATGCTTTTTGTTTGTTCATTGTAATTATGACTATCTCATAGGCATTGCTCTGCTATTTTTCCCTCTATTTTTCTATTTATAGACATTTGTATTACCTAACTTTTTCTTCTCTGTAAATAATGTAGCAGTGCATATGTTTATATGGGTTTTCTGCACATTTGTGTGATTTATGCGGGATAAACTCCTGGAAGTGAGATTCTCAAGTCAAAAAGCATACACATTTTAAATTGAAACCCAACTTCTTAGTAATTTTTTTTTTGGGGGGGATACAGTTTCCATATATGTTTTGTGACTTTTCATCTCTTATTTTCCTCAGTGAGATATATGAGCTCATGTATCCTTTGCTTTTTGTTTTAGGTAATGTCTTTAAAAGCACAGGAAGACTCTGATCATACTTAAGAGATGTTAGAACTAGTTGTAACGAAAGTGCAGGTAGAACATAGTGTCCCAGAAGGCAAATGAGGACACCATTTTGTCTCAAGAGACAGAGGTCAGCCATGTCAGATGCTGTCCAGAGGTTGAACACAAATAGTAAACCTTGGTTTTGGAAACATGGAGGTCATACTGGTGATACTGACTAGAAAGCCTGCTAGAATTGGGTTAAAGGGAACATGGGATATGAGCAAGCAGAGACAACTCTTAATGGAGTTTTGCTAGAACAGAGATCAGAGATATAGAGCAATAGTTGAAAGATGACACAGGTTCCAAAAAGTTTGTTTTATTCATTTTTTAAAGAGTGTATGTATATATGCTGAAGAGAATGATTCAACAGGGGAAAATATTGATGATGAGGGGAGAAACAGATAAGTGTAGAAGCAAAATTGTTGAGAAGAGAGATGGAATATAGTTCACCAGTGAAGGGGTTGGCCATAGGAACCTTTCCTCTGCTGTAAGAGAAGTGAGTGCTCAAGTGTGAGGGAAGACACAGATAGGATACCAGATGTGCAGTTGGGAAGATGATGTAGCTCTCATCAGACTGCTTTAGTTTTCTTAGAAAAATAAGGATGAAATGGTGAACTTAAAATGGAAGGAGACTAGGGTTGCTTGAGGGTACAAAGTTATAAAATTGTCATCCTGGAGAGTAGCAATGGCAACTTGCTAGGCGAATGTAACAGCACTTATGGACACACTTAATTCCCACTTGAGACTTTGGTCATAAATTTAACGTTTGGCCAGGCAACATTTTTCTCTGGGCTATTTGTCAGGTAACAATATAGGTTCTATAGGTAATGGGTGTAGAAGGGTTGAATTTACAAGATGGAATGATTGTAGCGATGGGTGAAGGACTCTAAGGTGTGAAGGAAGTAGAGGGCATGAAAAGGGTAAGGAGAAGGAAAAAGCCATGGGATCCGCGAGGCTGAATGACTCCTCGGTCATAGTAGTACATAGGATAAAGAAAAGTTTCTGCTGAAGGCTATGAAGCTTTCAGAGAAGCTTGCCTCCTGGAGGTCACTTGATTTTCTTTCCCTCAAAATCGGAAAAAAACACTTAATTGAAAGGACATCTCCTTGAACTGCTGTGTAAAAAGTGTAAGATATATCTTGTTTTTATCTTTGAAGGTCACCTCAGTGGCAATTAAAATTTTTGAAAGCCAAGACGACCCTCCTGTCACACTGGCTTTCAGAATTATGTACATAAGAAGAAATTTCTGGTTTTTCTTTTTAAAAATAAGGACAAATTATGCACTTTGCAGCAACTTGGATGGATTTAGAGTCTAATTCAGTGATCTATCACAGAAACAAAGAACAGAGTACCACATGTTCTCACTCATAAGCAGACACTAAACAATTATCATAATATTGTAAGAAAGAGATTGGCAATAGTGGGAAACTACCAGAGAAGGGGGGGCACATTTTGTCAATAAGGGTACCTGATCTCAAACCAGGTGAAGTGGGGACCAAAGTGAGGCCCAAACTTTACCTGTACAATGTATACCCAGCCCTGAATTGTACCTATCTTTAAAATAAAAATTATAAAAAATAATGACCCAGTCAAGATTGTGATATTGCTGTGTATACATCTGGAATCTTTTTAAAAGACTGTCTAAATCTGGGCGTGGTGGCTCACACCTATAATCCTAGCACTTTGGGAGGCCAAGGTGGGAAGATCACTTAAGCCCAGAAGTTTGGGCTGGGCAACATACCAAGACCGCATCTCTACAAAAAAAAACCAAAAACCAAAAAACAAAAAAATTAGCTGGGTGTGGTGGCATGCACCTGTAGTCTCAGCTACTTGGGAGGCTGAGGTGGAAGATCACCTGAGTGCAGGTTGAGGCTGTGGCGAGTTTGACTCAAAAAAAAAAAAAAAAAAAAAAAAAGACTCTAAGATTATAATCACAGTTTACATTATTTTCAGAGTTATGGTATATTATGTATACCATTCAGGGTTTGAGCCTTAGGACATGAGGAGGGTTTAATTAAATATTTCTCTTCTGATTAAACGTTCTGAAATCACTATAATGAGATTAGCCCAATCTTATACTTGAAAACAAGTAGCTCCTTTGGATTAAAAAATTTTTCTTTTGCCTCCTCCAGAAACCCAAACATCCAACAACAGGAATTCTTGCCATCACACTGGCATTTCACATATGTCATGAAGTTCACCTAGCTGGCTTTAAATACAACTTTTCTGACCTCAAGAGTCCTTTGCACTACTATGGGAATGCCACCATGTCTTTGATGAATAAGGTAACATATTTTACCTAAACGAATACACATCAGTATAATCTTTGATGTTAGTGTTGAAAAGTTCATGTTTTCTCTTCTCACCCTCGCCTTTTATGGAGAGGACATGTTTCACAGGGTGGAGAGTTTGATGGGTTAGAGCTACCAAGGGCTGAAACTAGGGCTCAAATCCAGAAGTCACTCAGTACAGCAGCAATCCCCAATTTGTGGGCCTGACCCTTGGGATAATCTCCTGGTTACTGCCAAGTGTTATCTCATCTAAGGACCAAGACTTAAATATTCTATCATATTTGCATCATTTAAATATAGATAACCTACTATGTTTGAGACACTACAAATTCAGCTAAAAGCATTGCTATCTTCATAATTATTTTTATGTATTTTTTTCAGTTAAGTAGATAAGATGGTCTATAATATTTTAACTCCAAAGAAGAGTCATCTAAAAGGTTACAAACCTTCATAGTAGACCATGTTTCTCATGAATAGGGAAGAACAGTGATATTTGTAGGATTTTTATTTTAATTGACCGGAAAGAAGTCCAGTCAATTATTTTTCTAATTCTACCCTAGATCAGTGGCACATCACAAGTGATAGGATTAAAATGTTATTTATACACTTTTAGTATTAAAATATAAATGATTTGATGCACACATATGGTGCCAAAAAGTAATATTTTAAGAAAGGAAAAAACTGTATTAAAATCGCAATATTCAATATATACCAATAAAAAAAGATGAATACAAGTCACATTTGACTTCTGCAATTACAAGGGGTAGTCAAAGTGTACCATCAAAGTCCAGACACTTCTGATTACGGAGAACATAGAAGTAATACATTTTAAGAAATGTATATGTGTATACACTTTAAGAGATACATTTTTTAAAAAGTATATACATTTTAACAGATGTTATCTATGTACTACTTTTAGTTTGCTGTAATCCGAAATATCTGGATGCTGATGGTAACTACTTTGAGCACTTCTTATAATTGCAGATTTTTTTTTTAGAAAGCAGGATTTATTGAGAAGACAGAAAAGTTCCCACGGTGGAAGGGGACCTGAGGGGGTTGCCCCAGAAGTCAATTTTAATAGTTTTCTCTTTCTTAAAATATGTATACTTTTTTTGGCACTCTCTGCATATATGGCTATATCTCATGAAATCAGTCCTCTTAGTTCATCCCACTGTGGAAGCTAAGGAAGTGGCATTATGTAGGTTAGGTTTTAAAACAGTCTTTTGTGGCCCACCCCCGCACCCTAGACCCATAATGTAAGACATAGTTCAAGAATGAGGTGCCTGGGACAGACTTTAGATTAGACTTATTTCTGTTCAGCCCTAATTTTTCCTGTAGCACTTGTGGTATTTCAAGAGTCATCTAAAGAACAGAATATTAGAACTGCCTGAGGAGAATCAGGACATCTATCTATAGAACAGAATAATGTTTAAAACACATCTTTGGCTGAACCATGCATACATTATGGTAGTTTCTTATCTCCGGGCCAATTAAAAAAGATAATGAGTTCCAGGTGCTACTTTTAGAAACGTGAACAGCCGGGCTCGGTGGCTCAGCCTGTAATCCCGCGCCTTTGGGAGGCTGAGGTGAGTGGATTGCCTGAGCCCGCGGGTTCGAGACCCGCCTGGGCAGCGAGACCTCATCTCTACAATAAATCCAAAAATCAGCGGGGCACGGTAGCGCGTGCCTGTAATTCCGGCTACTC